AAATGCATTCAAGTACCTTTTTAAATGTTAAGCAAAATGTATCTTATTTGTGTATCACTTGGCTGTAGATCCTCCAAATCTTCTCTGAATTTGTGCTGACACAATTTCAGAGATGGGACTACGATCTTGATACAAATTAAAACTAAACATGAGATTATAGTATATCACGGGAGTGAGCTTGGAGCGGTGACTACTTTACAACACACACAGGGACCATGGGGAACAAAAGTAGCCCCCCTCCAGAAGGAAGGACAGTGTCACCAATTCAGAGATGACAAAAGATTAGATGGCCTCAGCAGACAATCCCTGCCCCTTTCGTTTACAACAGGCCTCGTTAACACTCCAGTATATGCTCACAGTGTCTTCCTTTATACACTAATTAAGTTATTTCCCCTGAAAACTGATCAAGAAACCTCAGAGCAATTTAAAAGGTTTTAATTATGAAAAATAAAGTGTTCTTTAAAAAGCACAAACCAAATTGGAATATGGTATTCATATTCTTTTTGGCCCCCCTCAGAACATTATATTTCTGCTACATCAGTCAACATGTAAAATTAATTTTCTTTTGCATATCATGTTGTATGAACACATTTATTTTTACAATTACACACTGACACAAGGGAACAGCGGGTATATTCTTCTATGCTTATTAGTCACCTAAGATTTATTGCCTCCTAATTCATAAATATTCAGCACCAAAATGAAAAACCATATTTTAAATAATAAATATTTAATAGCCAACACAGATCTTTGCAGAAGACATCACAGGCTTAGAGCTGGCTATTTCAGTCATGTGCGTTTTAGATGGCTATTAAAAATTAATTTTAATCATCGTCATTAATTTTCAGCACATTTGTATTTACTTATTGTTATGCAATTTTAATTGGCCACCTTTGCAATGAGAATTGACAACAAAGAGTTGTTTCTCTCTCCTTTATTTAGTAATATAATGTTCTTTTTCACTTTTAGGCAAAAATACTACAATCATGTACGTCTGTAGCATTTCATTAGTCAGAGTTCATGCGTTTTTTTGTTTTTTTTTCCATTTTATTTTTAAGACAAAAAGAAAGCTGATTGAATACCCAGTGTATTTTTATGGCATATTCAGGGGAGCGTATAGTGTTTTTCCATATTTATCTCCATTGTCTGGACAAAAGCATTTTTTTTTTGCTTGCAATACATTTTATTTAAAAGGTTATTAAACCCTCAGCGTGTTTTTGCATATATCTACTGCTAGCAAGCAATAGATATATGCAAATTTTTTTTTTTTTTTTTAAAACAGGTTTAAACTTACCCGTGTCTTCGCTGCCCGCTCCCGTCCGAACATCTGAAGAGTCTCGTACGGCCGCAAAGGATCTTGGGGTGGGCACATCCGCACTTCAGATGTTTGGCCGGGAGACGAGGAGAGACGCAAGGTAAGTCTATGGAGCGGCGTGCATCAGTACAAACTCCGTGGGACATCAGAGAAGAGAAGGACAGAGGAGTCGGCGCTGGATCGGAGACCCGCACCCAGCGCTGGAGTTACAGCTGAAAACTACACTAAAGAAGAAGATGATCGAATCAAGAGGCATCATTTAAGGTAAGTCCTTACACTAACATCTTACACTACACTAGTGTAGTGTAAGTCCTTACACTACACTATCCTTTAATGCCACTTTAAGTAGTTTAAAGTTAACTTCATATATGTGACAGTGACATTTGTTTTTCAAAAGTGAGCACAGTTCCATATAGATCATGTCACATACATATTATTAGTAGCACTACCGGAAATATAATCTTAGATTAGTAGGAGGATTAGTGAGGTGTACAGTATGGTATGTAGCCTGGTTCAAATGAGCGCATGGGGGAAAAAAATAGCACTGCGCTTCAATTGAGCGCATCTCTGGGTGTGTTGAAGCGTATGTCTGAGGGGTGATTATAAAATGACCAAAATGTAGCACTGCTCTAGTTAGTTGTCCAGGGTCTTGGGGAATGGCAGGGCAGTGTCAAGGGGGTCACAGATTATTGGTCACTAACCTTTTTTTTTTTTTTTTTCCATTTTGCAGGTGTAAAGTTTGAGCCTGGTAGTCCGGGATTTCAGATAACTGGCTTATTGCATTACTGTAAGCACATCAGTATAGCAGGATCTCAAATTATACACACACCTAAATTAATCCACTGAATGACTCCCAGTAGGGATACATACCATCTTTTCTGTTAGGTCTGGATTTTCCATCTGCAGTAGCATCAACAAGAGCGCAGCTAGCTTTCTTATAACAAATCCAAGTGTGTTCTACAAGCATTTTCTTATGAAAGCTCCCCACATTACATTTTTTGGGGGGAAAATATGGATGTTCTAGAAATAATAGGAATAATTATATAAAATATTGCGTCTAAACATTTAAAAAATGTAATTCAATAAACCGAAAGTAACCATAGTTTTCCTTTAAAAAAAAGTTTTGCCAAACATAGATTTAATTTCTGTTTCCCACCTATAATTGTGGCAGGAAAGCTTAACAGGTCTGAGTGGACCGCAGAGAACCATTAAATTAAAGTCAATGGTTAAAATCTTTGAGACAATTGTGCATGCATCGTTTACCTTCCCTGCCTGCTCCATTATACAATGATATAAGAAACAGAAGGTTACTTAGAGCAGATCTGGTCTACACAGTGGAAATGACTTCCATTTGAAGAGTTCTGTCTTTTGTAACTGCGTACATTAGTCGATTTCACTTTAGGAAGCATTATATTTCGTTTTTTATAGACTTCGACAGAAAATAAATACCCCAAATATTTTTTTCTGAATGCTGTAGAACCATTTTCTGCTAGTTTTATTGAAATAAACCAGCATAAAAATATTAATAGTGATAAAACAAAATCTGAAAACGATTTGATAAATAACAATGACTGCTGGTCGCTAATGGCCTTTTCTGAGAAACTGATGAGAATTAGTTCAATTTATGGTTCATCGGGAATCTGGAGTGGTGATATAAAGATTCATTTTGAAAACCTTTTACCATGTCATTCTCATTTCCTTTCATTGCCCGATGGAGACAGTTTGAAGATAAGTCAGGTCAAGATTTTATTCCTTTTGACATATCAACAAGCAGGATGAAGCCACTTTAAAATCAATGGCCTCAAACATAATTACGGGGAAAGGAGAAATAGATTTTTGTAGATTAAAATGCACTTTTTAAAGAAGCAAATTTGCTTGGAATTACTGAGCATTTTAATACCATTGTTATGTTCGTGTCTTTCCAAAGGAAAATTACTGTCTCTTATTTAACCTCAAAATGCAGTGTTTAGAGCTGTGTCACATGAGCAATTTTATAATCGCTAAAAGTCTCATTAGCCTTTTGGTTGCTTGTAAAAAATGAATTGCTGTCAATGGACAGTTTGCGTTAACAGTGAAGGTCTTAGTCTTTGAGTGACTGACTTTTAACAGAGTTTGTGACTAGCTACAAAATAGCTTCAGTAGCTACTCATGTTATCCAATGGTGCAGGTACTGATGTTTCCAGCAGGAACTGTGTTCCTACCTACAAATCATGACCAGAAATAATTACAAACCTCTGCTACAGGCCGTACTTGTGTCATGTTGACCACACACGGTTCAATCAGCTAAAAAATCAGGTCATGTTCGTATTCACTGCATCATGCGTGGGAATTTATTTATTTTTACATCCAATTGATCAGGAAATTATTAGACAGCTTGGAAACATCTTGTTCATTTTCTGCCACAAGCAAATGTTCTGTCCCGTTCATTTTAGAGCATGGGGACAAAAACTGATTGAACATTTCTATGAAAATAATTGTAGTTTAGATCTAAAAGATGACGTGCACTGTGCATATAAAAGGCAAGCTGAGGGTGAAGGACTGGTCACTCACCATTATTGCCTGTATGATTTGTTCCCTATTTCTGGCTTACCGTGCCTTGTGTGTGGATGGGGTCACCTTAGTAAAGCAGGACTGTGATTCCTCCTGTCTGAGCTGCCTCCCAGAATTTTGGGGAACTGATGACTGTTGTCATGAGAGAGGTGGAGGAACTACAGAGCCATAGAATGAAAAAATCGGGAGATCCTTGCACTGCAGGTCCTTGGGTACAGCTTCCTCTCTAGCAAGGGGAACAGTGAGCTGCACAGTAAGGAGATCTCCAAATTTCATGAAATTAGCAGTCAGAGACAGGAGTGCCTTAGATAATCTCTCATTGCAGATATAAAGCTATTGTTGCCCAGACACAGCCAAATAGCAGGACGTTCACTGCTTACAAGACATAATAAAATAAAAGCTGTATGTAAAAGTACAAACATAACATTTACAATAGGGCTGGTGATTAATCAAGTTTTTGCTCTTTTGCAGAGCTACAACATCTGCTGGAAGTTACAGCATCCAACAGTTTGGAGTGTGCTGGATACGTGCATCTTCCTGTTTTGCACTGTGGTTTGACCCACCAACTTCTACACCACTGGTGTTTTAAAATTTTACCTTAGATTTATTTATTTTTCTCATTGATTTATCACATTAGGTTCCAATGGAAAGCCAGTTACCAGTAGGAGATTGCATGAAAAATACACCGTACGCAAACGTTTTAGGCATTTCACCACACTCCATTTTAAATCTGTTGGGGACAAAAACTTCTTTTTATGCCGCAAAGAAGCTTCTGTACTTTTTTGAGCACTGCGCATCACACTGTGAATGGGCACAATAGAAACATTTGTGGAAATCTGGGCGTCGAGCGTTAAAGCAATTCTGGAAACACGCTTCCTATTTCTCAGGTGTCAATGGGGGCAGATCAGTTGCTCTAAAGCTGTGTTTATTACCTTCCTATGAAAATGTGTATTTGATCAAATTTGATCTTGCATTGGAATGCAATAGTTTGGTTTCCTTGAATTGCTGTATTTGTTATGACTTGTATCATTTTCATTCTGTGAAAGGTTCAGCGGCCAGATATACTTAGTAACAGTGTATTTTTTTTTCTTTTCAATCATATAGTAAGTAAGCCAGTTTTGTGTCTTGTCTACAGGTGTAAACAAGGATAATATCCGAGCAGGATGTAAAAAGTGTGGATATCGTAAGTATATATTAAAATAAAACTTTTATTCCTCGTTCTCTAAAGAAAACGCAGCACTGTTGTATGTTTTTATCTATTTTGGGTACATAATGTAATTATCTATTTGGTTTTTGGTACATCTTTAGTTTCGGTTTTTGGGTATATATTTGGGTACATTCCATGTAGGGGCTCATACATATGGGTTGTCGGTGTTAGTTACAGAACCTGGCACTTCCCGAAACATCCAGGACTGCCATGTTCTCCTTTAGAGGGGAAGCAGTAATTGGATTGTACCTTTTGCATCCAGTGTTCGTTTGAAAGTGTCACATTAAAGTATATTTAGAGCCAACATTTTTATATTCTTTTGCTCTGTATGCTTTGGGAACTTCACCCCTCTATTTGTCCTGGGTAACTATTTTCCCATCAGTGACGGGAAGTTCAGAATTTTATAGTTACTGTCACTGAAACAGGAAGTGAGGGGAAACCGTGACACCTGTTCTGCAGACAACTCAAGTCGTCTTTTTTTTTTTTGCCTTGGGTCCCCCCTTAAAATCATTACTAGAACCCATTCTACGGTAAGGGTTTGCTGTTGATTTTGAGGGGAACCACAAATTGATTTTTAAATTTTTTTCATTAGGGTGCCTTGAGATTTTGCCATGAATGCAAAAAAGCTTGAGAAACACTGGTCTAAGAGGAGATTCCTCTTTGCTGGGAAAAGTAAGTAGAGGAATATCTCCCCAAAGTAGACATTAAAAAAAAAAATCCAATTCCTATTTAAGACAAAATACATTTTGGCTATACATTAACTTTACAGCAGACACTTTCCTAAGGACTTTTCTTTATTGTGCCATTTCATTTTGGTTATTGGGAAACTCACTTGTTGTCCCTCTCTAACAGCATTGAACAGAGTGCAAGCATGATTAAAAACCTTTGGTAGTTTATACATACAGTTCCTATTTAAAAAAAAATATATATATATATTCCTATTTTAGGGCTTGTTTACACTAAAATTCATGTGCGGACTAGTGTGCTGAGTGAAGCCCGGCAGGGAGATAGAGGGGAGAGGTGTAATGTGTTGTTTCAGTGGAATTGGTGCATTACACTTTTTGCCTTTTTAGTTTTTTTGCAAAGTGTACACTCCATTTGAGGTTTTTTTGCTGGGAGAGAAATGGCTTTGCAGTTCTTCCCAGGATTTCTAGATTTAGCATGAGATCCTGGAACTGGGAGATTTCAAAGAGAATTGGGAGGGATGAAATCTCTATTCCTGGGTCCAAGGTTTAGTAGTGGCCAGCACCTAGTGATTGCACAGCCCTTATGGAAAGGGTGCTGGCTGATGTTCAGGGCTCTTGCTGGGAAGAGAAACTGATTGTGTTCAGGAGTCAGTAAGACTCCACCCAGAAGCCAAAGTGGAGCCAGGTGGCTGTGTGTGTGTTGGAGGCACCTGGGAGACAGCCGAGGAGGTTTAGAGAGTCAGTGACTCATGAGGGATGTGTGGAGGAATCTTGCTGCTAAAAGTCCTGGGACTAGGACACATGGAGTATATGTGACAACCTTGCGTCGGTGAGACATTGTCATATGGGCTGAAAGACAATCAAATCTTATGTTGTTTTTAATGAAGAAAGTAATTGTTCTTTTGCTGAAGAAATAAAAGACTGTCCTTTTTATATTAAAACTGCTTCAAGCCTGGTCCTTAAGTGCTCACCATATGTGCTAAATTCCCCAGATATCACAATATATACATATATATTAGGGATGCACTGACATTTCGGCTAAAAATGGTACTTTGGGCAAAATGCCGAATGTACCATAACGGCCCAAAATGTGGCCTGAAAATTCAAGTGCATCCCTAGCTTCTCTCCTCCCCACTGGACACCGGTAAGTGTCCCCTCTAATGCCCGATGCTGTTTCCTGCCTGTGTCGACAGAGGTAGCGGGAATCCAAGGGGACACAGCCATCATCCAAGAGGGAGGAGAGAAGCTTTTAGGAGACCGAGAGGGGAGGAGACAGCTGTCACTGGAAGCTGAGCTCTCCTCCCGCACCAACCCGCTCGGCTTCCTGTGATAGGCGAGTACAAGCACTCAGAATGATCGCTGAGTGTTTGTATATAACTGAGAACATAGTATGCGTACTATGTCCCCAGTTATGAATGAACAGGAAGTGTTCTACATCACTTCCTGTTCATGATTATGCACATAGTAACTGATACTATCTCCTCAATTTATGAATGGACAGGAGTAGGGCTGCAGCTAACGATTATTTTCATAATCGTTAAGTTGCCCAATTTTTTCAACTAATCAACTAGTTGTATAAAGAAACAATTCCTCTCTCGCAATTTAGTCGATTTTAGTTGTTTGTCCTCAATCTCTTTTTCTATTTTTAAAGGCAAATATCAGGTGTCTGTTTAGACCCCCTGATATTTTCACTAAGGACCCTGACAGTAAATTAAAAAAAAATTATTTAAAAAAAAATGTAAAAAGGTTGGGGGGAAAAAAACCCAACAGTTCTTGGTTTTAGCCTGACAATTTTGTGTGCGTGCGTGCGTGCGCGCTCGCTCTAGGGAACTCCACTCTTCTTGGTAAACTATGAGAAAAGCCAAAGTAGTATGATTGGATGTTTGTTGTTATTGGCAAAGGGTCAGGTAGTAGAAATTGATATCGTTTTGGTGTTGTATCATGATTTATGTCTTTTCTTTTCAGCTGGCCACCTTACGTTTGAGTGTAGAAATTTCCTCAGAGTGGACCCACAGCGAGACATTGTGTTAGATGTGAGCAGCACAAGCAGTGGGGACTCTGATGAAGAGGACGAGATCCCAACTCAGCCCCCACTTTCTGTAGATAAGAAAAGTAAGTTCCTACTATACCTATGTGTTGTCTGGGACCCTGAAAAGAAGATCTCTTCATGGTTGCAATCAGCTTAGCCATTTCAGTTGATATGTAACTATCACTGCTTGTAAAATCTCTGTAAATCCCTGTAGAAAATCTACTAGAGACCTCAAGGAATGCTAAATTAGCTTTCCAGGACACGGATAAAAAAAAGAGGATGGGACATTCCAATCAAAACAGAAAAAAAAAGGTTTTTAAACTAAACTGAACTTGATGGTTGTATGATTTTTTTATTGTTTTTGTTACACAAAGAAAATCAGCAGGGTGCAGTTAATTTTCACACAGATTCAGTTTTTGTTATAAAAGAAGGCGAAGAGGAGCTTCATTCACTGTGCCAATCCAGTAATGGATTTTTTTTGGACATTTTACACACATGCAGTGGTTACTTTAGCAGTAGGCTATTTTATTATAGGTTATAGTTGCCATCTACATTAATTACACCCTATATACTCAGTATAATCATCTTCCACCGTTGGTAATGTGCACCTCCTAAACAAAAATATTTATATCCTTTTACAAGCCCTGTCTTCACCCAGTGGTCACTTTATCAGGGACACTTGCTTGATAATGTGCTAAGGTCAAGATGTTTAGTGATTGATTTAAAGATATTTTATGGAAAAAGGTGCCATTTTGGCCATATGACAATTGTTGGGGCAATGTTGGCAGTTGCAGCATCTTGGAAACTGCTTGTTTCCAAACAGTTTCACACATTACAGTCTCTATAAGGTACAGGAACTGGTGCAAAAAGCACAAAACGTCCTGGCATTCTGCAGACATATGCATAATGTCTTCTTTGAACACATTTCATTCAAACCATGAAGACCATGTGGTGCATTTGCTACAGCAGCTAAAGACCAGACTGGCTTCTTCTCTGTCAACTAATAGGAAAGGTGAGGCTGCAATGGGCTAGAGGGATCTGGACCCCTGAATAAATGAAAACGTTGCCTGATCTGGCAATTTTTTATTACAGTGTTGACTTGCAGATAGCAGGGTCTGAACGTCTATAGAGTATGAATCCATGGATCCATCCTGTCTTGTGTCAAAAATTCAGTGGTGTGGTTCAAACTAGAGATGTACCAATACAGGTATCGGTATCGATACTGAGCATTTTCATAAGTACTCGTACTTGTGAAAATGCCCTAATACTAAGAACCGATACCAGCGCTTTAAATTTTTTATTTGAAGCCAGTGCTGTAAACAGGTGCCGCGGTGCACAGGAATTCTGCCAAGGTCCCCAGCAAGGCAGCCTTCCTGTGAAGTGCAGCGCCTGTTTACAGCACTGGCTGCACATCTCCTCCCTGAAACCACGCTGCCTGCATCCACCCGCAAGATCCACTGGGACCCCTGGTGATATCTCGCACAGCCCTTCTGAGATCGTCTGCTGGAGACGTCAGGCCAGCACCCAGAGCAGCACCGATTATATAGCTTTATATTATTCTGTATTGAAGTATAATGCATTGCTGAGATTTGTCCTCCATAGCTGCTGGTATTTTGCATTGCTGTATAATGTATTGCTGGGATTTGTAGTCCTCTATAGCCAGTGCCATTTTTCATCGCTGTATAATGTATTGCTAAGATTTGTAGTCCCTCTACAGCTTGTGTCAGTGGCAGAGCTGCCAGGGGTGAAGCGTTTGCAGCTGGGACCCGGCCCTAGCACTTCACCACTGTCCTAAAATCATTGGTCTGTATTATAAAAACAAAAAACACTGCGCTGTCTCCATCCCTTCAAGTGTACCCCTATTTAGTGGGAAAAAAAACATTTCCACTAAATTCACTCACACAGTGTCATATAGTGTCCTCCACATATAAAGTGTCCATTAAGTTGTGACAACAAAGATCTGTGATCTATCGTGACGTATTCCTTCTTATAGCCACTTGATTTCAAATAGATTATAAATGAATACGTATAATCAAAACATTCCTACTCCACTGTGACTTTTTGTGATTCACTCCAACATAAAGTGCTTCCCAGTGGTCCAGCTTATAATCCATAATAGAAGTCATGGAGGGTTGGTGCTCGAAGTGACAACACGGATGGCGCCGTGTCAGATACAGTCCATAATACAAGTCACCAGCACTCGATGATACGTGCAAAAAGTAAAGCACTTTTTATTAAATCGTCACATGCATCATACAGCCATGTGGTCACTATGTCACCCAGAAGAAGGGACCCTGTGTGGCCCCGAAACGTTGGCTGTATGACTCATTTGACAATTTAATAAAAAGTGCTTTACTTCTTGTACGTATCATTGAGTGCTGGTGACTTCTATTATGGACTGTATCTGACACGACGCCATCCATGTTGTCAATTCGAGCACCAACCCTCCGTTAAGGTCTGTAGGCTGAATGGAGTGCAGGTGATTTCGTGTTTTAGATCGCAATCACTAGCACACTCACCAGATCCTCTAGAGACCACAAAGAATGGTCTATAAACGCTCTGTGTACTTCTTTTGGCTTCAAATATCTTTCTCTCCACTAGGTCACCGATGGTTAATGTGCATAGGATCCCTCTCGGGTTGCAGGACATCACACGACTCAGTCTTTTTTTCACTGCAGCTGTCACAGAGGGTGGGATAGATTTGGGATATCGCCATAGCGTGGATAATCTTTTGCTTAGTATTGGTCTGTATTGTTTAAGAAAAACTGTCACATGACACAAAAAAGTTTCGGTAATTGGTATTGGCGAGTGCTCGAGGAAAAGTATCCTTACTCGTACTTGGTCTGGAAAAAATGGTATCTGTGCATCCCTAGTTCACACTTTTGCTCCTTCCAGAGGGGACTTGATTGCAATTTTCAGCTTCACTTGTCATTGAATTCTGGGGCTAGGTTCACACCAGATGCAGTGCGTTCCGGCCCGATTCTGGCCAGAACGCACTGCATCTCATTGCCGTCGGCTCACTTCTTTTGCGGGCCAGTAGGGGGCGTGGCGGGCCATTGAAGTGAATGGCACCATAGCCACGCCCTCCGGCCGCAATGCAATCGCCCACAGGGTATCGCAACGCACATTGTGCCTGCGGTCCGGTGCGATCAAAATGCTGCAAGCACTATTTTGATCGCATCGGACGGCAGGCACAATGTGCCTTGCGATCGCATTGCAGCCGGAGGGTGTGGCTATGGTGCCATTCACTTCAACAGCCCGCCACGCCCCCTTCCTGCCCCTCGAAAAATTGAGCTGGCCGCAATGCGATGCAGTGCGTTCTGGCCAGAATCGGGCCGGAACGCACTGCATCTGGTGTAAACCTAGCCTGAGTGATCCTCGAAGAGTCTCAATCTCATGACAAATTGATTCCAACCACACAACCCCAAAGCCCTTAGACACAGGCCCTAAATTGTCTTTTGATCCCACAGCATATCTGACTATCATTACTGACAAAGTGCACCTCTATACAGGTGTCCCTTATTCAGTGGCCACTAAGTCAAGTTATTAAAAGATGTTATTATTTAGTCTTTTATGAACATGAAAAGGTAGCTGGGGGCTATAAAATATGATTCACAGATGTTAATTATACCCGAGTGACAGCTGCCTCATTGTTTATGTTCCCATTTTTACAAATTTTTGTCCTCGTGTTAGTGGTTAAGCTGTACGGGTGATCTCACGAGTGCCACTTTTCAGACTTTCTGAACTGCAATTAGCTTTTTAATTGTTCTCAGTCACATTATGCTGAAAGCAGAGAGAGTAATTATTTTTGAGAGCTTTCGTAAAGAGGATTTGGAGTTTAAATTCTGGTTTCTGTGCTGATCCTAAGGAAAATCGCAGTGATTCTCGTGTAATATATTACCCCCCTGTCCTGCAGCTATCAGATAGTTTTATACAATTATTGCTTCTTCTATATTTTTGTACATAGAAATATACTTTGTATGGCAGTAATGTAGAGGTGGACACTTGATTAGACAATCTAGTAGCCAGTCTGTCAAATCCAGCAGGATTTTTATTGGAGCCAGTGCCATTGACTACAGCAAGAAAAGATCTGAAAAGTTAGGCACCAGCTGTAATTTTTGGCTACCTGGCTCCTAGGATTTGTCCAGCCCTCCAGTAAGGCCACTTAGTTGGCACCATTGATAATTGCTTAATGGTATAATGTATTTAATGCCAGTATAGGCCTATTTCTTTGCTATATTATATTTTCAGTTCACTTATTGGTATGAAGTATTGTTTAAAGTGTTGCAGTGTACTACTGGTCTGTTTTGTCTGTTTAGGGGGAGGTCCCAGAAATGCTCAGTGAAAGAACTAAACATATGGATTTTCTTAAAGTCTGTGGCTGGCCATGCAGTATTTGAAATTCATACAATGTGTGACCCTGCCCTCTCGAAAAAGTTGATTACTGAATGCAGTAGTGGCAGTGAGAGATGTGGATGGAGACATCTGTTAGATTTTTTTTATTTTTTTCATTCTGCCCTAATAGTGTATATCCAGCTAATGTATGCACCAGAAATACCTAGGAACACTTGCCATAATGTGATCACATTTCAATTTGGTTTCAGTTCACAGCAGCTTCCTATCGTGTACATTAACTACCAAACCCTTAGCGCAGAATTTTTATTTATTTTACTTGCCATAATGTGCCAGTATGCGTACATAGCATACTTACACATTATTGAAAACTTAACATGGGTTTTTTTGTTTTTTTTTGTTCAACCAGCAGACGGACCAAAAATAAAATAGAACAGATTCCTCTATTAGCGCTTACAAGTGTTGATTGAGGAATACCCTTCTGTTCCTTTTGTATTCTGACAGCGGCCTCCAATCAGCTGCTTGCTCCATTCAGCTGAGAATTTTCCAACCCGCTTCTTTTATCAGTTGATTGAAGGATGCCTGATGGGAGGGTGCTGATCGCAGCACCCATGCAGCAAATTTCGGCCGGCCAGAAAGAAGGTAAAATAGCCTACTTTACCTTCTCGTTTGGTCTTCTCCAGAGAAAACGGAACAGCGCTCACTTTCGCCACTCCAGCACGACCGATCA